CCGGGAACGGGCACCGGAAACGGACACCGGGAACGGGCACCGGGAATGGGCACCGGGACACCGGGAACGGGCACCGGGAACGGGCACCGGGAACGTACCAGGACACCGGAAACAGGCACCAGGAACGGACACCGGGAATGCACCAGGAACACACCGGGACACCGGGAACAGGCACCAGGAACGGGATCGGGAACAGCCCCGGGACGCCAGGATCAGAACAGGACACCGGGAACACACCGGGATCAGAACGGAACACCGGGATTGGGAGACACAGATCGGATCGGGACACCGGGACTGGGACACCGAGACCGGGATACCGGGATTGGGAACGGGACGCCGGGATCAGACCGGGATACCGGGATTGGGAACGGGACGCCGGGATCAGACCGGGACACCGGGATCAAACCGGGAATGGGAACGGGAACGGAGCAGGAACGGGATCGAGAACAGGAACCGGGATTGGGGAGAGCAGCGGGAATTCGGGAATGCGGGATGGGAAATTCGGGAATGTGGGATCGGCCCCCAGATGGGAAATGCGGGAATGCGGATTGGCCACAGAGAGAGGAACGGGAAATTCGGGAATGTGGGATCGGCCTCAAAATGGGAAGTTTGGGAATGCTGGATGGGAAATTCAGGAGAGAGAGGAGCAGGAAATGTGGGAAACGTGGGAAATGTGGGAAATGTGGGAATTCCGGAGCTTTCCCGGGATCTGGGAGAGCCCCAGAGCCAGCGGGGTCGGGATGGGAATGGGAAGCACCAAATGCATCGGGATTGGGATGGGAAAACCCCAAATCCATCGGGATTGGGAACGGGAAATCCCAAATCCATTGAAATTGGGATGGGAACAGGAAATCCCAAATCCATCGGGATCAGGGTGGGAATGAGAAACCCCAAATCCAGCGGGATTGGGATGGGAATGGGAGCCCCAAATCCATCGGGATTGGGATGAGAAAACCCCAAATCCATTGAAATTGGGATGGGAACAGGAAATCCCAAATCCATTGGGATCAGGATTGGGAATGGAAGCCCCAAATCCATCGGGATTGGGATGGGAATGAGAAACCCCAAATCCATCGGGATGGGAAAACCACAAATTAATCGGGTTTGGGTTGGGAATGGGAGCCCCAAATCCATCAGGATGGGAACAGGAAATCCCAAATCCATCGGGATCAGGGTGGGAATGAGAAACCCCAAATCCAGCGGGATTGGGATGAGAAA